CTCATTTCTAACTTTTAGATGTATATCCTGAACTTAACCTCAAATTTAACAGTGTTAATCTTTCAAAAGATCAATTAAAAAACTAAAAACTGAAAGTTAAAGAAAAACAAAAATCAACAGTAGCCAAACCTAGCCCGATAGTCAATCACCAAACCGCACCACCCATCGCCGGCAAAGCTTCTCATCATCCCCAGCGAAGCTTCTTTTTCTCTTCCTCTCTCTCACCGATGAACTCACTCACTGTCTTTTTGGTGGCAACTAGTAGGAGTGGGTTCGTTGGTGACGGCTGACGAGGTTGTCTTTCATTTTTTTTAATAGTGTTATAAGTTGGAATTAAGGATTTATACACATGTCAAAAAATTAGAAAAGAAATATGTTGAAGACACCAATGTGAGAACAGCAGATCCGTGATCATAAACGAGAGCTTTCAATGTTGGTATTCATGGTGCACACCAATTCTTATATCAATTCTTATACATAGGTAGTCTTACTCAGTTCCTACTTCCTATCAATTCATCATTGCATGCACACAAAATCTCACACTCATAAAAAGTTCAGACACGCGCAGACACACACATTGGACCAAATTTTGCATGGCCTGCAATGCTTATACGTCTGTCTTTTTACTTTAGGCTTTGTGATCAAGTAGTTGTACCAAACCAAATGGAATATTATACCAAAAACGTAAGGAAGGTTCAAGTACAATGAAAGTTGTAAGACACTGACTTGTATATTTATATAATTTACACTGCCAAAACAAGAAAGCTAGGTTTGTTTTTTGTTAGAAATCGAGGGGATTAATTAATTAAGGGAAAACTAATTATTAGTTTATGTAGTGGCCCTGGTGGGTTTAAAAGGTTGGGATTTGGTGAACAAAGTTTGACCTTTGACAGTCAATGGATTACAAATCATTTCATGGGGTAGGGGCCGGGAAACCAAAATTAGTTTAACTAGAAGGATCGATCACGGACCCTTGAACGATCCAATGATAAAATTAATGCATGTAGAGATTTATATATGGCTAGAGAAAAACTGGCTTCACACCACAAACTATACCTTGATAATATCGTTTTTGATAAAAAAAAAAAATTGGTCCAAGCTGTTTTAGCTTGAATTCTTCAATGATTAATAGGAAGATAAACATTAAATTTATTCAAATTTTATGATGAGTTTCAAATTTTAGTGCATACATGGAGTATATTTCCTCTAACTAACTTAACGAAACCTAAATTTAAAGTTGTTTTGACTTGATTGAACATATATACATGTATTTAGGAATGAGGATCATATTCAATTAGATATATATTGGCTTAAGTATTTGGTTGGTTTATAATGACGAAGAAGCTATTTTTGGTCAGAAAATTTTCCAAATTTCAATTCACTTGTCGTATAGCATATTCAATACATGATACATATACAATAGAGGAGGGGGTCACACGAGCTGCAAGTTTTCTGTTTTTATTATTTTTTGGACCTGGACCACACACACCTTCCATCACGGTTCATCCATTCATTCATTCAGTGGTCAACTAGCGCCTGCATGCATTCGCTTAGCTCCAAACAAAACCAGCTCCACTACACTCATACTCTATATGTGTGTGTGTGTGTGTGTGTATCGAGCATGTATGTATATGTAGTAGAATCTACCCTACGTAATTGTCCCGCATTTGCTCCACGATTAATAATAAACTTACTAGCCTGTATTTCAAGCAAGGTTGAAAAACATGCAGAAGTAAATATCGCCAAATTAACAAGAACAATGAATTTTATCTATACCCAAATACGAATTCCTCGTCTCGTTTGTTTAGGTCATCTCCAACTGAAGGGTTCAGAGGGCCAGAGGGTCGAAAATAGCCTGAAAACCGTCTCCAACCAAGGGCTAGGCCAGAGGGTTGTAGAATCTCAGAGGGCCCCACGGAATCGGAGAGGGCTAGAGGGATAGAGGGCTGGAAGTAGCCAGCCCGGGGCTAGCCAGAAATACTGGGAATCTTGTCGGTTATAACCGACAGGAATACGTTTATATTATTTAATATAAATATATTCCTATTGGTTATAACCGATAGGAATTTTTAAAAATAATTTTGAAACCAACTGTTAGCTGGTGCTAGTTACCGTTGGATTCAAATTTTTTTTTTTAAGGGTTTTTTGGGCCTCTTTTTTTTTTTTTTTTTTTTAAATTCTATTTTTTTTTCCTATAAATACCCAAACCATTCCTCACAAAATTTTCACCATTCCTACCATTTCAATTCTCATATTTTCCTTCCTCTTTCAAAAATCTATCCTTCAATTTTTTTAATAATTTTGAAATGGCCTCTTCTGCAATGAAAGGTAAGGCTTGGACCCGAAAAGAAGATGAAGCTCTTTGCAAGGCTTATAGATGGGTGTCAGAAGATAGTGTGAGGGGGAATTGTTAAACAAATGACGGTGTTTGGACTCGTGTGTCCAAAAAATACTTAGAGTTCTATGAAGGCACCACTCCATTGAATATTCGAAACCACAAGAGTTGTTCTTCAAGATGGAAGAAACATCTTTAGCCAAGTTTGAACAAATGACATCAAGCATTGTTAGCAGCCGCAAGTAGACATGAAAGTGGCGCTAATTACTACGACGAAATAAATGTTTTCACAATTTATTTTAAATATTTAATTAAATTACATTTAATTTCATAAATTAATTTCCTTTAATTTTTTTCTAGGTACGCCAAGCAGAGGAATTGTATATGGAGAGCAGCTCGAAACCCTTTCAATTTCACAGTTGTTGGGAAATTTTTAAAGGGTGGGTGTTATTTGAAGATCCACCAAAGAGAGCTCCTACGCTGGTGTTCGAAACTACATCCTCAGTTGTAGATATGGATGAAGATGGATCTCCAACCATTCAACAAAAAAGGGTGGAAAATCCATCTTCGGGTGAAGGTTCCATACCTAGGGCTATGTGACGAAACAAGGCGCGACGGTTGAAGGAAAAGGGCAAGGCAAATGATAATTACGCCACTCAACATGAAGTGGCAGCCTCATTGCGATTATTGGCGGAGAAAAATGCCCTTGAGGCCGAAGAAATGAAGCGTAGGCATGAAGAACGGGCAAAACAAATACAAGAAGAGATGGATGATAAGAACATGGAAAGAAACACTTCGAATTACACTCCAATGCGTAAGGCCTATTTTGATAGGAAAAAAAAAAGAAATTATGAGCCGATGGCAGTTGTTTACCTCTAACTATACTCTTACGATGGTGGATGATGAAGATGATGTTGATTATGGATATTAAATTTAAGTCGTTTTAGTTTTTAAATTTAAGTTAATGTTGTTTTCGAATTTAATTTGTAGTTTTTAAATTTAATTTGTCGTTTTTAAATTTTAGTTGTAATTTTTAAATATAAATTGTAGTTTTTAAATTTAAGTTGTTGTTTTTAAATTTAAGCTGTTGTAGTTTTTAAATTTAAATAATAAATTATGTTTGGGCCTTTGGCCCTCGATTGGAGACAGTTTTTTGTGGTAGGGCTAAAACGAGCCATCTGGCCCTTTGACCCTCGGTTGAAGACGGAGGCAAATATGGCCCTATACTGTTCATTAAAATATTAATATCTTGAAAAATCTTGGAGAGTCAAAGGGCTAAAACGAACTCTTTAACCAACAATCGATTGAAGATGACCTTATAGTTGAAATACTAGGCCACGAGTCGGAGCTCAGCTCAAAAGCCAAGCTAGCTCATACATTTAGGGGGCGTTTGTTTGCCCTCACTAAGTTGGACTGGACTGGACTGGACTAGCTATTAGTCCAATACTGTGTTTGTTCCATGCTGGGACTAACATTAATGAGACTAAAGGGGACTAGCATGGACAAAACCCTTCACTAAGAGGTCTTAGCGAGACCCCCCAATAACCATGGGACTAGCTAAGACTATCCTCTCTTTCTCATCCTCATCATGCTCAACGACCACTCCCGACAGACTCCTCGTCATCTCCGGTCACCTAAATCAATCATTAACTTTCCGACTCTCTTTCAGATCCATTTCACAACCAACTTTCATATAAAATATACCAAATTGAAGCTGGGAGTGACAAGATTACGATTTTACCTGAATCGAGGCTAAAATGTGGTCGAATGTGGCCGGAAAATGGCCTGGAAGTCTCGGCCTGTTTGGGCTTCTTCAAATCCATGACAGATTCGAGCATTCAAAGCTAAGATCTCGGTCCAGGGATGGTGATGAATTTTTTGGCGGTGCTAACTTCATCCAATTTAACGAGGGTTGGCCGGAAAACACATCGGGAAACCTGCAATTCGTTGGGAAAATTGAAGCCGTGAGGTTCCGTTCGAACAACGCATAGCTAGAGAGGGAGGGAGGACAGAGAAATAGAGACTGGAATCAATAAGGAGTTTGACCAGGAATGAAAAAGAGACATGAATTGAGGGGTCTAAGAGGAAAAAAAGAGGGAGAGAGTGGGACGATGAGAGAAGAGGAAAAGAGTGGGACGGAAATGGTATGAAAAGATGGAGAAAAAGATAAGATCATAATAAAATATTAATAATTTATATATTAAATAATATAATATTAGAATTTGTTATTATCCAGCTTCTTAGTCCAATACTGCACCAAACGCTTCACTAAGTTAGTCCAGTTTAGTCTAGTCTAAACCAGTCCAGCTTAGTCCTTGAAGCTAATCCAGTCCGAGATAGTCCAGCGCAACAAACGTCCCCTTAGTCCCTAGAGAGAGAGAGAGACATAAAGAGTCTTGTGATGCATTTATCACCAAGCACACCGATGACTGATCTGATCATCTAGCTCCATCCATAGGTTTCAATTTTCTTGTAGGACCAGCTACCTAGCTGCTCTCTCTCTCTCTCTCTCTAAATCTGGACACACATGCACAGAGAGAGAAGAAAGAGAGAGTGATCTGGTCCACCAGATAGAGCTCGCCAACTTGCACTTGTGCAGTAATGCAGCAAACACACACACACATGTATATATATGGATGTATATTTATATATATATATATATAGAAAACAAAACTATGTTATATATTTACAAATATACTCTCAAGCAACATTAGAGGGGGAGAGTTTGAGAGAGAGGGACAGAACCAAAGGAAACGCAATGGCAATATTGCCTAGGAAGAGCATGATGGTGTTCTTGTCGTCCTTAGCCCTACTCTTATTATCTTTAACGACAAATAGTACCAATGTCTTCGCGAAAACGATGGTGCCGAAACAGCAGGAGCTCGATCGAATCTCAGCGCTGCCAGGACAACCGCCGGTGTCATTTTCCCAGTTTTCCGGTTATGTTACGGTCAACGAACATCACGGTCGAGCTCTTTTTTACTGGTTGACTGAAGCCGCTACTTGTCCTCAAGAGAAACCCCTCGTTCTCTGGCTCAATGGAGGTCAGTTTAGTTTAATCAATAATTACCAGAATAATTAACATATCCTATCCATATATATATCTTAAATTTTAAGTTAATCTACTGAGTAATATGTGATAGGTAAACCAATTTTATAGATCAAATTTACAAATTATTCGTTGTGTCATAAATAGAAAATAAGTATGTTAATTAATAGTTAAAATATAATTCAATTATTAACAATTACGTTATACAATTTATAAAATTAGATCTAAATAGGAGTAATGCTATTCATACCATGTTATTGTACTATATTTTCATACTACCTTAGATAGCATTTGATGTGGACAACCACATCATTTGAATTAATCAAAATTTTAAATTTAGTTTATTATTTAATGAACTAATAATTAAAATAAACTAGTCAATTAAATGATAATTGTGGTATACGATGAGTCTTTCTTCTTTCTTTTCTTGGATTTGTAAATTTTTCAAATAATGTGACTATTCACATCAAATTTTATCTAAGGTAGTATGAAAACATGACATAATGATTTTTATCCTTATCTTAAATGAATTGATAAACTACTTTCTTGGTCAACCCTTTTCTTTTCTTTTTTTAATCAAATTCTACTGAAAAATTTAAGAACCGGTAAGCTACTAACTGTCATTCTGACAACTTCTTAGTAAAGCATTCAATATTGTGCTTTCTTTTTTCAATGTTATACATACAAATTAAAAATTGACATTATATAGGAATGAGGAAAAATAGTTGGTATTAGCATTCTAAAAAAATTACATTTTTTATAAATCTATTTTTGTTTTTAAAACATAAAAAATTTAGAGTGCACAATAAATTTTTTAAAGTGCAAATAATAACACCCGCAAAGCATAAATTAATTTCCATCCATGTGTATAATATTTTTACATGATGCGTGGATAGTGTATTGATCTGTATAATATTATTTAATGGATATAATTTGTGTCATGGGTTTTGTCATTGATGCCAAAATGATAAGCAAACTATTTTTGGTTCTTAATACATGACAGATAAATTTGTAGTACAAGCACGTGTCCACCCCCTTCCATTGAAGGGATGAAATTTTTTTATTGTGACAGTTATCAAATAATGTTACTAATTCACATATTATAATAAAGCTGCATTAATTTCTATTTTAATTTTTAATAATACGCCTATCTATTACCACATACAGTGAAAATTCACTAAGCTTAGCTTATACCCAATGGGCCTCATTAACCTGACAAATTCTAGGGTCATGTGGTTGTGCGGCCATACACATAAACTTTTGTTAACCGAGTGCTGGTCTCACCCAGTTTTCTCTAAAATCGTATACGACTAGATGGAGAACTTTTTCAACAGCATGCGCAAAAGGAAAGAGAATGTCCACACTCAAAACCACATGGTTCCTCGTGATATCTCTCTCCCTCTCTATCTTTTTAGGGTTTTTATTCCATTCCAAACGGACCTTCATTCCCACTTCCTACACAGACGTCGTTGTAGTACCTCGAAAAGCCTTTGCAATTTTGGTCCCTTTTCTTTCTTTCTTTCTTTGTCTTTCCTGTGTAGTTGTTTGGGTAACAAACGTACGCCAAACGACACAACAAAACGATTAAAGTGATCCAACTTTTCTTCGTCAACTCTACACACCAGCACTGTAATTCCTTTTTCTCCAACCATGAAAATTGAAATGCTTCAGTCACTGTCTCACTGTCTCGTTGTCTTTCACGAGCGCTCATACACACACACACACATTGACATTGCTTAATTTCAAGAAGGCGTGCTCTGAAGAGATGTTGATGGCGACAACGATGGCGGCATTGTTTAGTTTTACTGCCCATGAACACAAAAAAGAATCACAATTTATTAGAAATATTCAAATCTCAAACGAATAAATATCCACTTGCAAATACTTACTAGATTGGATATACATAATTACTGTTTCAGGACCAGGTTGTTCATCCGTTGCATATGGAGCATCAGAGGAGCTTGGTCCCTTTCGGATTAATCGAACCTGTTCATCTCTTTATCTCAATAAGTATTCCTGGAACAGAGGTATATGCATATGAATTTCGCTATCCTTTTTTCTTCTTAAAGAAATTCCGCTCCATTGTAGAGCGGTATTGATTTGACATGTTATCAACTATTTAGAACATGGACAACTTACTGAATTATTGATAGTCAATAACAGTGTCGATGTGGATATAAATATAATTTTCATTTTTCTCATTGCAGAAGCGAATATTCTCTTTCTTGAATCACCTGCTGGTGTCGGTTTCTCATATACAAATACAAGCAGTGACCTTAAAAATTCTGGGGACAAAAGAACAGGTAGAAAAATAATAACGACCAATAACTATAATTTATAACTAGCATTTTCAATCTTAATTATATTTATAATTTTGTGACACAGCTCAGGATGCTCTAGTTTTTCTGCTTAACTGGTTGTCAAGATTTCCACAATACGCACACAGAGAATTTTACATTACTGGGGAAAGCTATGCAGGCAAGGAAAATGAAAGTCTTTACTTTAGGTTAAGTCCTGCCTTGGAACGGATGTGACAGGACGTCCATTCTTTATGTCATCGATAATGGTTCGAAAGAAGTGTAGACAATAAAACGTACTGACATTTTATTGACAAAGTATCAACACATTATCGATGACGTACACATTTATTTTAATAAATAACGGACATCCTGAAAAGAATTTCAAAATACCAATGTACTACAATCACACGTTTACCTTCACAGGACATTATGTTCCTCAGCTGTCAAAGGAAATTGTAGCTTACAACAAAGTGCATTCCGAATCCACCATTAATCTCAAGGGATTTATGGTAAGTTGAAGACATCATATTCAGAAATTCAGACTTTAAATAAGAACTGAATTGTTTAATTTTCGCAAATTTGAAGATTTTTATTCCTAACTGAGCAGGTGGGTAACGCTGTGACAGACTATTACTACGACAACATTGGAACTGTCACATATTGGTGGAGCCATGCCATGATATCGGATCGAACCTACCTATCCATCATCAGCCACTGCAACTTCACAGTAAAAACAACATCAAAGCAATGTGAAGATGCTATAAATTATGCAACGGACCATGATTTTGGAGACATTGATCCGTACAGCATTTACACACCGTTTTGCTTGACAATGCTGAATAACACGAAACGGCATCTGAGGCTCAAAAACACCCTTCTTCGCCGGCGCGCTTCAGGGTATGACCCGTGCACTGAGAACTATGCAGAGAAGTATTACAACCGGCCGGACGTGCAGAAGGCAATGCATGCGAACGTTACTCGAATTCCTTACAAGTGGACTGCTTGCAGGTGCTTAATTTCTTAATCTTAATACATTCTACTAAAAGTTTAGCAAAGTAATTAGGGCAAGTCTGGGACTGGTTCTGAAATCGCGAAAACCGTTGTCTTCCAATCAAAGGAAGCATTTCCAACTGCTTTTTCAGAAAGCACTTGGATTTCTATTAATGAACCGAAGTATTTCTTAAAAAAAAAAAAAAAAAAAAAAAGAGTCTCAAACAAGCTCTTAAAAGCATAGGGAATCACTTTCGTAATTCAATTTTCTTTGGGCAGTGATGTTCTTTTCAAGTACTGGAAGGATTCTGAATATTCCGTCCTGCCAACTTACAAGGAGCTGATTGCAGCTGGTCTAAGAATCTGGGTTTTCAGGTAACTCTCACAACTTAAAAAGTGTTCTTGTTGGCACATATAACACAACAAGAGAATCTACAACCCCAATACGACCAAATCTTATTCGGGTGGTATTTACATGCGATTCCTCGTTTTTATTAAACAGGTTCATGAGGGCTGACTTGATTCATGATTTATGATTCGTATTTTGTTTCGATTTCCAAAACAGATTATATCTTAATTAACTTAAATTCTTTAAAAGGAAGACCTAAAAGCAAGCTAGAGAGAGATAATATAATTTTCAAGCAACTCTAAATACACCATCCGCTGCGTGATTTTGTAGGTGTTCATACTTAATATGTTAGTGCAGTCTAAAAAAGCCGTAAACAAAGATAAGTTATAACATCATTAACTGGTGTTCTGTTGCTTACCTTCTAATTTTGGTGCAGCGGGGACACAGATTCAGTAGTTCCGGTGACAGCAACTAGGTTATCCTTAAATCATCTCAACCTTACGATCAAAACCCCGTGGTATCCATGGTACTCCGGATCCCAGGTATTTAATTTAACAAAAACACAGCATCATCCTTAAACAACTTTCCCATCATTTTTCTTGCAGTGAAAGAAAGGCCTTGAAATTAAACACTTCTATGTTTTTCTTCCCCACATAGGTAGGAGGATGGACAGAAGTCTACGATGGCTTAACCTTTGCAACCGTACGAGGAGCCGGCCACGAGGTTCCACTGATTCAGGCCGAGAGAGGGTTAACTCTTTTCAAATCATTTTTAGCAGGAAAGAAATTGCCAAAACTTAACTGACATGTTATTCAGAAATTCAAATATATATTCCACCAAACTCCCACACAAAAAGATCATGAGGCAGCTAGATTAGGAATCATTCATTAAAATTAGCGAGTAATTTTATTTTTAATGAAAAATGTATTCCATTTAGATAGTATTTTGGATATAATTGGTTGTAAATTGTAATTCTTCAAAAGTTTTGCAATGCAAAGCACAATAAAATGTAAAAGGTATTTTTGTCAAGAGCAACATGTATATCAGTTTCTAGTTACGTTATTACTTGAAGAGCGTATTTTGCATAGTTTCGAGTTGTTTGCATTTTACTTGACTGGACATCCTCCTTCTGGTGTGCGTCCTTGTAGGCATCTGTAATTAAGTGAATTTTTTTGCATTAAGATGACAGATTAAACATATTCTATATCGACCATTATTTATATCAGTTTTGGATCTCTAGAACAAAACCCAACAAATGGCATATGCCAAAGTTTTCACAATGGTTTCGAATTTTATCTGTCACTGATAACAAGCATGATTGAAAGATATTTTTCATATCATCTGATTGAGGAAAGGCCATGAAGTTAATTATTACTTATGATCCTTGTTCAGTTGCAGCCTCAGCGATCTCCCTTCGCATAGGTTGCTGATTCCCTTCACAGTAACCATAAATTCTGCTCCTATATTATCTCAAAAAGATTCTGTAAAAAGTATCAGATCAACACCACCTTGATGAGAAATTTGGAATCTGCAAACAAATGTCAAATGTTGTTAGTTACTTACTTGAGTGATCACGATCTGATAAAGAAAATCCGAGCTTGTGGATTGCATCAACATATGCGGCAATCCACACAGAACCATTCTCACATTGTCACCTGATTTGAATAGCTTAAAGTAAGGCTTTGCATATGTATTCGCACTGTGTTTTGAAGCGCGAAGAACTTCATTCACACAAAACAAACCCAGATTGATGCTTTTAAGTTTTTCTTAGCTCCTAATTAATAATCGGAAAACAGTGGCTGTTCTTCGCTGGTTTATTTCCAAGTGTTCAACCCTCCATGTATGCTAGGGGTTGAGAAAGTTGGGAGCATTGTGTTCTTTCAACTCAAAAGTTGGCTAACTTGAAAATTAAAAAAGAACTTGGACCAAAAAGCAAACTTGATCCTATCCAATTACTGGATTTGTACACCAGCAAAGCAAAGACGAAAAGACTTAACCTTCGAAGGTACATCTTCACCGTTATCTGTTTGACATGTTCAAGATGAATGGAGCTTTAGATGTAAAGTCAATGAACCAACAGTTAAAGAATTCAATGATCGTGGATGCATACACCGCCACTGGTGCACACTAGAAAATCTCCAGAGAGAGAGGGAGAGAAAGGTTATTTGGTCTTTGCAAGTCGTTTACTAGTGTTTTAAACTGCACACAAAATTGTAAAACAACGAGTCATCAGACTTATCAGTATAAATTCAAATTGAATTCGTCGTGCAAAAGAGCGTGTATTGAACAAGATGGAGACGTCAAGGGGTGGAGAGTCTCCACTGGAGACTGAGGAGGCTGATGGCTTGACCAACTTGTTCAATTCCAAAAGCCAAAAAGTCATTAGTCACTGGTCATGTATTTGTAAAAAATTTGTTGGACGTTTTCGCCTTGATATCCTTCAATTGTGGTGGTTGATGGCGGAGTTTGACTAGTTCTCAAATTTATCTCAGTTGCCATTAAAATACGCAGTTGCAAATTAGTGCAACCAAATTACTCAAAAACCCTTAGATCATATTAGACTGGTGTATTATTATTTTTATCTTTAGGTGTACCAATTTACCTGGCCTGTGAGCTAAAGCTTAAATCAGAGAGACAAAAGGGAGCACATACAATGGCATGGCAGTGGTTACCACCTGCTTGTCTATCCTCTGTGTTACAGACTGAAATTAATTAATTAATAAGACTAGTAATGGAAAAAGACTGGATTACCAAACCAAAAAGTTCTATCTTTGTCCATGAATACTAATTTTTGAAGAAAAGGGCAAAAGGTTCGTAGTGTTTTCGCAATGGGACGGAAAATTTGAGTTTATTTCGCATGTATTGGAATCAAACTCACACTGAAGATAATTGAGTTTGAGTTATTATATAAATGTCTCAAAGAGTTTTATTTTTATAAAATAGTGAGCAATTGACATATCTATCAAACTTACACTTCTACGATAATAGTATAGGACTCAAATTAGACATCTTGATTTCGGGATTAAACTCGCATAAAGACTTTTCTTCTTCACTAGATAAATTTACAAATATGCCATTGTGACATTATTCTCTTCTCCCTTCGTACCTGCATTTGTGATTTGGATTTACTAAATGATAATGTTTGTGTTCCCCTACTTACAATTAACGAATATTTACTATTTGAACATTGTAATCGGAACTGTTTATTCTCTTTATTATCATCTAAAAATCATACATTCGAAAAATCATTCAATTTGGAGATTGTTTAGTTATTCATACATGATAAACCAATTAACGATTTTGGTAACAGTAGTACCCTCATGATGAATCGTCTATTTGTTTTATACATATAAATAACTAAAACATCTATAAATTGAATAATTTTTTTGCATATATGATCTCTAGATGATGATAAAAATAATGAATGGTTCTGATTATGAAGTTTGAATGTTAAAAGTTTGTTAATCGTCCATGGGGGACAAGTAATTTCTTCGCAAGGGACACAAGTCATCTCCAATTTTCAGATTTTCATGTTTTATTTATAAAAGAAAATTAAAAAAAAAAAAACAAATGAGAATGAACCAAACCAAAAACTAAAAAAAAATCGCACAAACCAATTAATAATTTTAATTAGGTTTTTTTTTTTGAAAAAATTATATTATTAAATTAAAGAAAGAAGTAGGCTAACCTCACAATAACTTGACAATAATGTGATTCAAATTTATGTTTGATAAGAATCGAATTTAATTTTCACTTATAAATCAAAAAACGCTTTTAAATTGTAATACTAACTGATAATTTTAATTTAATTTTTAATATTCACAAAAAATAGAACCGAGTAAGACGAAACTCACCCCTGGTAAATCAAAAGCCAAATCAGGGACTTGTTCATCTTTTACCTCCAAGTGTCTGTTGGGAAAAACAGGAAAAAGGATGAGAGAGAAGCAAAGAATTCTTGGAATCAAAGAAAAACCAGAGGGGTGTTTTGGTAAATAGGGCAGCAATTGACACCTAACATCCACAACCTGTCCAATACCTACAACTGCAAACAGCCCCGTCAGAAAACAGCAGCTCCAACATGTCTCTCTCATTTATCCTTTCCTTTCTGCCCTTTTTTTAATTTTTCATCATCAAGAAGCCCCAATCTTCAATGCCCACCTCCTTCTCTCTCTAAAGCACCAAATCTTTCTCTCTCTAAAGATCCAATCTTTTCTTCTCTCTCTCATCCATCACAGAGAAAAGCGCACCTCCAAAGAAAGAAGGAACCTTGAAGTTACCTTCCCCCATCAAAAACAAAGAGAGTCCACACAACACCCAACTCTTCCCCTCCGTGTTTCTCTCTCTAGAAACTCTCTCTCTCCAATGGCCCAGCTGGACCAAAATTTATGTAGAAGAAATACAAAAAAGAAAGAAGGGGAAAGAAAGAAAAGAAAGAGGAGATAGATGTCTTCAAGTGTCCTCCAACCAACCCACCTCACCTCACACAAATCTCTCTCTCTCTCATCAACAAACATGTTGCCAGAAATACCCTTCTGCAACCCCCCAAAAAATCCCCATCTTCATCACTGTCTTTCAAAACAACATTATTTTTCACCGAGTTATGTGGGCTCTTTTGGAGTTTTTGTTGTCTTGGTCAGAGTTTTCACAGAGAAAACAGGAAAGCAAGAAACTTCTCCTCCCTTCCCACCCGCTCTCTCTCCTTTTATTTTCCTCCTTGTCTTTCTTGTTTCTCTCTCTCTCTACCTCTCCTCTTCTTTATTATTTCCTCCCCAACTCTCTCTTCCTTTTCCTTACCCATCTCCTCCTGCCCCTCTTTCTCTATCTCCCCCCCCCCCGGCCCCTCCTGTAATTCTTGGTTTTTGGGTTCTGGGTTGCTTTACTTTTATCTCCCTGTGATCTGATGAAGAAGATGAAGGGGGTTGTTTCTGATGCTATGGAGGACCAGAGGAACAGGTTCAAGCACCAGAGTCTCATGCAGGACTATGAGGAGCTGCAGAAGGTATAAGTCTTTTCTGGGTTTTTAAAAGATTTCAACTTTCTTCTGTGGGTTTCATTAGATCTGGTGTATGGTGTTCATGTCTCTTGGGTTTTTGTTTATGATTTCTGTGTTTTCTAGCTTTGGAATTTTTATGGTGGTTTTGTTTGTAGGCTGATTATTTAGAGAGATATTGCTCAGCTATTTTTTCTGGATTTTTTTGAAAATTTTTCTCAGTAGGTTTATGATCTCCTCATGTTTTAGAGACCGCCGTAAAAAAATTAGGAAAAGCAGCAGGAATTGGGAATTTGTAGGTATTTTTATGTTAATTTTTGTTTGGAAATTTGTAGCCTCAGGGATTGAAAAAACTTGTAGATATGTTTGTACGCTAATTTTTGTTTGTAGAAATTGTATATAGGTTATTTGATAAGTCTTAATCTTTACTGATTTGTGATCTGCAAAATGTTTTACTACCTTGTTGTAGAGGGTATTACGATTATTTGGTACACTCTTTTTCTTAGGTTTATGAAAATTGCATCTTAGAGCTTGATTAAACTAATTGAAGAATCATTTCTTTTGCAGGATGCAGATGCTACGAAGAAAAAATTGCAGATAATGAAACAGAAAAAGTCTATGCTCGTAGCTGAAGTAAGGTATAGCATCTTGTCCATACCTTTGTACACTTATAAGATAGGCTGTGTTTACAATGAAAGAGGAAAGAATTTGACTTGGTAAATGTTTATCTTTTGAATTTGCAGGTTTTTGAGGAGAAGATATAAATACTTAATAGGGAACCCGTCAATGAACCCTCGACCAAAGCAAGATGTTGTGCAAACACACAATTTAGAATCCCAGCGCGTCACCTATTTGAAGGGAAAGAGTTCCAGCAAGAAGGAATCTGCTTCACGGTACCCTCTTCCTGCATTAGACTTGAACAAAAAGGAAAAGGTTAAACATGGAATGGAAGACATTGTGCAGAAACCTCCTCCAAAATTTGGATTAAACCTTAATGCAAGGGCACTTGGCGGAAAGGAAGCTACTTTGCGAACCCCCACTCCAAACTTGACTTAAATCAGAAGGAAAGGGTTCAGAGTGGGAAGGAATCGACAAAGCGAAAGAACATTCCAGTTTTTGACTTGAACCAGATTTCGGTAATCAAATAGTTAATGGTCAAAGTAATGTGCTTTGAGTCTTGGTGTAACTTCTGATCTGTGAAGTTTGATGTTTCTTTTGTATCATTTTGCTACAGAGAGAGGACGAGGAGGAATTTCAAGCCAATTATGAGCCAATGAGGATAAAGGAGCCCAACAAAAGTTTACGCAGAGTGGGAAATGACGAGCAGCACAATGACATGAAGTTACTGGCTTGCAGGACTATAGGGAATGGGTCAAATCGATCGGGGAAGAGGAAGATTACTTGGCAAGATCAGGTGGCTTTACGGGTTTGATTTTACTTTTCTTCGAGTATTACCATTGAAGATCATATATCTTGTCGGGGTTGGAAAGAGTAACACCTCAGTTACTGTGTTTCTTTGATTTTCTTCTTTGTAAAGTTGTCATGGTCTTACATATCGAGTGTATACAGTTGAAATGAAATGGTTTAGGATTATTCAGATTTCGTTTGTTTTCGTTAATGTTGAAAAAAATTTCTTAGGATGCAGACAGAATTTGATTTTGGTTGCTTATTTGTAATCATCGATGATCGATGTTTGGTGTGAGCGATGTAAAGATATTCCAAATTGTGTTTCGCTGCTTACGGCCGGTTCTAAACCGTAAGCAGGCCGGCTAAGATGACTTTGTAAAGAAAAGGGGAAATCTTTAGGACCATTATGAGAGTAAGGTGTTTTGGGAAGGTGATGGTGAAATGCTTCACCGTCATGCTTTCCCATGGTATGAAGCAATGCTTTGGGCATGTGTGTTTTAACTTTTTAAGCTAGCTTTTTTAAGTGCTAATCGATTTGTGGAGTGCCTTGTCAATGGATGCCTTACAAACCCCCTTCACGAGGACCTGCATTTTGGTAAGCCACTGTAGCATCTCTAACTAATAATGTAACGCTCAACTAGCGACAAGGGGATGTAGCTCATTTGGTTACGAGTGGTAGGATTAGAAAACGATTAACTGGCTTGATTCTCCCTTGAGTTGGGTGAAGTTGGATTTTGAGGCTGCAATTGCTTGTTTTATTTGAGCGATAATCTAATTTAAACGACGGATGAGATTTAAATTTCGGTGAGAGAGAGATTACACTTTTCTGGCCAGCGAGGTTACGCTTAGATCTGCATATCCGCAAATAAAACAAACAGTACCTGATTTCCAACGTGTTGTGTAGATAGTACAGGTTTTCTGACTCATGATGCATGGAAGGATCGAGATCGGACTGGATTTCGATTTTCCGTCTTGTTTCGTTTGTCGGAATATATTTCTCCTCGTGAGCTACTCATGCCTAATAAAATGTTCCACTTATAGTAAGTTGGTCCAACTCTCATGTCTTCTTTTCCCTCCTTTGAGGTCGTCCGTGGTGAAACGATTCCTATAAAAAAGGAAGTGATTTTCGAACACCTTTGTACGCTTCTAATGATTTATTTAATTCAAAGACGAGAATAAAAGAAAGGCGCGTAAAAGGAGAAAATGGTGCACAGAAAATAATCTATGCCACTACAAACCGAAATTTTAAATAAAAAGAATAGAACAAACTCATTTCTAAATCTCTCCAGTCTCTTCTGCTACTTATTCATCATCGGGTATGCAGCTCATTTTTCTGTATCCGCAACAACTTCTGCACTGTCATTTGCTTGTTTCGCCGGAGCAACATTATGCATTCTCATTAGCTTCATCATGAGGCCTTTGAACGTCTCGTGCGCTTCTTTGTCCGCATCAGCATCTTCTGCCTCCTTACTAGCCCCTTCTGATGCTATGGGGGTTGCTATTGGAATCTTCTCATGCGCTTCTTTGGCCGCATCAGAATCTTCTTCCTCCTTACAGGCCTCAGTTGATGCCATGAAACTTGCAATCGGCGCATTATTTTGTGTAAGCTTCTGACTCCTAGCAACGTGCTTCTTTCCTCTTATATGAGACGACCACACCTTTGGAGTAAAGGCACCAATTTTACACCCTTCACACCAAAACGTAAACTCTTGTTTCTTTACGTCTTCTTTTCTCTCCACTCCGTCCACTATTTTAACCTTGTCGTTATTCTTCAGAACCTCTCCACACTGGACTTTCGACATTGGCGTCTCCCCCTTTGAAGTGCCCTGTTTGTGCATTTTCTGGTTGGAAACATCGCTGGTTTCATTGTGGTCAACCGATTTCCATACTTGTTTGGCCCTTAATTTTGTGCTTTTGATACCATTAACCTCCTTGGGCTCAGAAAACTTTGCAGCTTTCTTTGACAATTTTGAATTGCTGGAGCTCGTGCCTGGTTTCTGAGCTCTCAGTCTTGCTTCCTTGGCTTGGTGCTTCTTACCATTAATGTGATGAATCAAGCCCTTCTCACTTGTTGCACTAACATGGCACAGGGCGCAACTCCATTCCTCTTTGGGTTTCTTTTTCAACCCAAATGGAGGCAGCTCACTAGCACCCACCGTTGGTGGTGTTTTCCGCCTGACTCCGGAGAGATTTGGGTCAGGTTTCGCCTGCAACAAAGATACTTATACAAATTACATTAACAACAGTCTTTCAATTCTAAACATGCAATTGATGGTAAAATCTCAACATCATTTCCAATGCGAACTGCACTACCTGCTTTACAAATACGAAATTAACAGAAAACAACTTTTCGGTAATCTTAAGTAGACAAAACCAGTGATAAGAAATGTGTTGTCTAAGACATCTGCAAGATACCAACCTTCAATATGTCGACCATCATAACAGTGATTCAAAACAAATATTCAAGAAGTTGAAATAATTACAGAGGAATCTGTCTGCCCCAAGTAATTAGGTGAGAGGGCGGCATGTAGATACAATTATGTATAAGGACAATACCTCACACAAGGCCACAAGTGACCACTGCATATGCATCAAGAGGGTAGTCTTCTCCAAGTGAACCATCAAATGAAAAATCAATTTTCAACAATCACCAGTGCCATTAATCTTAGATTATTCCGTACCTCGATCAAACTGATATCACTATAACATAATGAAATAGCAAACCATCTTATTGACCGATCGAAGAAAAATAATCTACATAGTGAATGACAATGAGGCCCCATTGAGACGACTTTTAAAGTGCTGATCCACAAGCAAAAGCACTACCACATGCATAGGGACTAGGAAGCGAACTGATATACACCTTGCAATCCAATATTAGCATTGGTTATGGGCACAGCCACTTAGGCAATGCAGAGGCTACTAGTAACACAGACTCTTCAATGTATTTGTAAAACATAGACCCGAAAAGCCAACATTTCGAGGGTTGAAGGAGCGCAATACATACATACACATACACATACATATTCATCAGAGTATATGCCGTTCCTTCAACCTAAAAAATCTAGACAATCCAAAACAAATGGTGTATCTTGGTGGGCAATTTACCATCAATCTCATCTTTTACCTTGATTCTCATGGTCTAACCACGAATCTTAGGCCACGTTTGGTGTCTATGATTGGATTCGATAACTCACTAGAATAAGTGTATGCTAATGAGAGAAACGGATGTAATGTTTTGAAAGTTCTCACTAGAATCAGTGGATACTACAAGTTATCCAATCCAATCCTTGACGCCAAGTTATGCCTTCGTTACCAAGAAACCATACTAAACCAGAAAAAATCTCCCACTTTAGCACAAAACAGAGCATTCCCACCACAAACGCAGTAAACCATAAACAGAGCATTATTAAGTTAAAAACCAATCAAATTTTAAAAAGTAGAAATGGCACTGACCAGTAAGATCAACTTGTCCTTATTGTTGAGGTCTGAAACAGGAGGAGGAGCCGGAATCGCCTTGAAGCCATTGGTCAAAGGTTCCTGTTGCCGCCGCCACGTTCCCCTATCGAATGCGGCGGGCGCAAGAGAAGCAAACAATCCGAACTGGTCATCATCGAAGGGGTGGTGGACTCTCTGGTCGAATCGCACCGCCCCGAACCGGACCTGATCAAAACCGAGACCTTCGACAGAGGGTCTTCGCATAGCGATTTCCCGCTCCAGCATGAGCTCTCTCCTCACCTCCGCTTCGAGAGCCTGCCTTCGCACAATCTCCGCTGCAATAATCTCCTCCCTGATCCTCTCCTTCTCCAGCTGGCGCTCGATCATCTCGTCGTGGACGGACCTCGGGTTGTGGAGCGGGTCCAGGTTCAATCTCATATCCGGATTTCGGAACATAGCTATCTGGCCTGTTCAGAAAGAAGATTATCTCAGTTTAATCGCAGAGTGAGGAAATTAACTGAATTTCTAAGAAAAGAACTGAAATTTGAAGTAAATTCGTTTTCTTTTGGTTTCCCGACAACCAAACAGAAAATTGAGAGCAAAAGTAAGAAGGTAGAGCGAGACCTCCGAATGCGGGTTGGTAGCAGGAGAAGTAGCAGCCGGCGGGAGAAGGCGGCGGCGGCCTCTCGTCCACCGATCGGAATTTGAACTCCATTGAATCACTCAATAAATTGTTGCGCTTTGAACTTTGACTTGGTAAAGTGCAGAAACGAGAAAGAATAAACGTTTGCGGTTGGAGGTTGCAGTTACAACAGCAAAATATATACTCTCTGGCTGGATACTCGGTGGAGAAATAGTGACGAAATGCTGGCTGAGTCCGCGGGCCCACGGAGGAGGGGAGGGGAGAAGCAGAAGCAGGTGGAGACGTGTCGGTGGCGTGGGCAGTGCCGCGGGAGGACACTTTTCCGCGTTTGTGCTCCTCTTCTACCGTTTATGTTACTGTTACTGTAGGTAAAACCCTAAGTTAAAAATCTCTTTTTTTTCCGGAAATTTACTGTTTTTATTTTTTGAAAGTCGGTTTTAACTTAAATTAATATTGACTAACATTTGTTTACGCACTTTGGGTATATCAACATATTTTTTTAGAAAATGAAAAGGAGAGAGGGAGAGAGAGAGAGCGTGAGAGTGAGAGGAGTGGGAGGCTTTTGTTTTTGGTTTTTTTTTTTAATTTATTTATTTTAACATTGGAGGTATTTTAACATCACCTGAAGGTGATGTTTCAATAAATAAAAAAAGGTAAATTTGGACTTGTGAAATTATATTATTGTCCATTATTTTTTTGTGTAATAAAAGACTAATTTATTTTTTCAGTCCTCTTTTGATTGACAAATAGGGTTTTATTAATTAGTAGAGATAATGATGGTTTAGGTATTTTTTGGATGTCCAAAATGTTATATGGACTTGCCTATTACATTATTTTTCTTTTAAAAGCGATCAGTTGGCTTAGTTACGGGAGTCCATTTTTATGGGGTTAGAACGACTCACTATTTCAGCTTCCCTCTAACCATTATCGTGGTTTACTCATGTCAATAATAGAATCTAGAACATATCATGTAAAATACGAGTTAAAATTTGTCTCAGCCCACTGTGACACTATGAAGTGGCTGCATGTTACATTATGTGGACTTACACTAACTTAAATTAATAATGTATGTTTACGCTATGCGTTAACTTGTACGGTACTTTTTAAGTTACATTTCCTTTATGGATACTTTTCATTGATCAAAAATGTCATTTTATGTGACATATCTACGATGCGAAAGTCAAGTCAACATTATTGTGGTCAATATCACCAAGTCCCAGTCTTGTCAAAAAAACATCTTTTTTATTGGATATTTTAATAGAAGATGATATCCGCACTCTTTTTATTTTTTTTTACACATTTTTTTAATTTTTTATTGTTAAATCAGATGTATTAAAGAAGATAAAGAACATAAATTAATAAGAGATGTGTGAAAAGTAAAAATGGATGTATAGATAGCACACTTCTATTTTAATTTAGGTTAGAAATTTAAGCTATTATTAAATTTAGTTCAATTTATATTTTTTTAGCTTAAAAAATATTTATGATTTTCTTAATAAATATTTCAGTGGATCAAAAGCAAGGACTAAGCCATAAAGCATCCTCAAATAACATAGTGTCACATCCCGGTCCGAGGCAGATCACTTTCCAGGCCTGCTCCACAACCATAGCACGATATTGTCCGCTTTGGGCTTACCATTCCCTCACGGTTTTGTTTTTGGGAACTCACGAGCAACTTCCCAGTAGGTCACCCATCATGGGATTGCTCTAGCCCTCTTCTCACTTAACTTCGGAGTTCCTACGGAATCCGAAGCCAGTGAGCTCCCAAAAGGCCTCGTGCTAGGTAGGGATGAGAATATATATATAAGGATCACTCCCCTAGGTGATGTGGGATGTCACAATCCACCCCCCTTAGGGGCCCAACGTCCTCGTCGGCACATCACGGCCAGGGATAGGCTCTGATACCAAATTGTCACATCCCGACCCGGGCATGACCACTTCCCGGCCCGCTCCACCACCGTAGCACGATATTGTCCGCTTTGTGCTTACCATTCCCTCACGATTTTGTTTTTGGAAACTCACGAGTAACTTCCCAGTGGGTCACCCATCATGGGATTGCTCTAACCCCCTTCTCGCTTAACTTCGGAGTTCCTACGGAACCCGAAGCCAGTGAGCTCCCAAAAGGCCTCGTGCTAGGTAGGGATGAGAATATACACATAAGGATCACTCCCCTGGGTGATGTGGGATGTTACAATCCACCCCCCCTTAGGGGCCCGATGTCCTCGTCGGCACACACGCGACCAGGGTTAGGCTATGATACCAAATTGTCACATCTCGGCCCGGGGGGATCACTTCCTGAGCTCGCTCCACCACCATAGCACGATATTGTCCGCTTTCGGCTTACCATTCCTTCACGGTTTTGTTTTTGGGAATTCACGAGCAACTTCCAAGTGGGTCACCCATCATGGGATTGCTCTAGCTCTCTTCTCACTTAACTTCGGAGTTCCTACGGAACCTAAAGCCAGTGAGCTCCCAAAAAGCCTCGTGCTATATAGGGATGGGAATATACATATAAGGATCACTCCCCTGGGCGATGTGGGATGTCACACATAGTCACAAGTTAAAAAAATTCAAGAATTTGCTATACAAAATCCTTATATGTATTAATCCATAACAGTTTTTCATGCAACACTTTACACTATCCCTCAACGCATTTTTATGTTTTGAAAGCGTTGTTTGATAACTTCATTACCAATATCATTAAATATCTCTCTCTCTAAAAATAACCATGTTATTAATTTTCCATTAATTTCCCATCCGATTTCTCAATCGATTATTCATAAATTTCATGACTATAAATACTATTTCAATAGTAATATTGTAATAGTAGCAACTAGAAGAGTTAATGCTTATGTTATGTCTATCACGTGGGTTTGCTACATGCAATATGTACATTTTCTCAAGAAATGGCATTTGCTCCTTGGGGCCAAAGTGGCTCTGTCCTTGGTCAAAAGCTATTTCATGACATCAGTTAACCGAAGACTTAATAACAAAAATTAACGCAAGTATAAAAGTGTACAAAAATACAATTTTTGTGAGTTTGAAGGTAGTAAAATGGATATTACTCTAAATTTATGTCATCATATGCATATATATATATATAATACCTAAATCATGAGGTGACAAAATAAATTTAACATGTGAGTGAGGTAGTGTAACGACCCGTCCCTAAAAACTACGATTTTTATAATTTTAAAATGTGAAATTTTGAAAATGCCTTCAAGGCAAATGCATTGACATTTTTTACCACATTGTCGAGTCACGTAAGATCCATTTTCTTGGCATATCCTCGTAGTAATTGTCACTACGAATGCGTGGGCGCAAATAGAACATAATTTGGAGTTATTAACGAATGAAGTTGAGGGTAAAATTGTAAATTTATTATGAAAAACTCAAATTTTTGGAGCTTAATCTGGGAAGCCATGTGTGTGGCCCAGATTTAAAGAAAGAAGAAATGGACGGTTGGGAGAAGAGATAAAGGAGAGAAAGGATGGGCGAGACTCCCAATCAGAAAGAAGGGGGAAAAGAGTCGGACCAATGAGAAGAGATGAAAGGAAGAGAAATGAGAAATGAGAGAATAAGAAGATCAGCCGGATCCCTTAGAACCGCAACCTTGACCCGACTCCTGACGATTATTCTGACGGGTTTTCGTTGAATTCTCTGGCTTTCTTTAACCTTCCATTACCCCAAACATCTGCATGACATCCCATCATCCAAATTGACCTAAAATCGACGAGTTTCGTCGTGATTTCACGAAGAACATCCGTACGGGTATCGTGAAACCCTAGCCTTAAATTCACCATTTCTGAAGCAGCTAGCTATGATTAACACCACCAATCGACGTCCCTCGAGTCCAGGAACAAAATCCAAACTAGTTTGGGGGCGGCGGATAACCGAAGTTAGCATATCAGAGTTCACCTCTTTTAAAGTTTCCAACGGTTTAAGGATTTTTTAGGTCATTTCCCGGCCAAATTGGATGTCTTCGCAGGTATATAAATTGATCCTCGATTCATGATCTTCATTTTGGTATAATTTGGTGAATTTTGGAATTTTCCAGGAATTAGGGCAGCAGACCGCCATGTGCGGCGGGGCATGGCCAGTGGGCCAACGTTGCCCTTTTTGAGTTAAATTTGATGTTATGATGTCAATTTGATAACCGTTGATTATGGTTAGATAGTTTGAACCTAGTATGAATTACTACGTTCTTGACCATTTTATGATTCGACGATCCAATCGTTGGATCGTCACCTAACTTTAATACATTATAGTACGTAATATTTGAGGATCATTGGAACTTATGGATCGGGAATCCGACGAACGGATTTTCTGAATTGAATTTGTAAGTTCATAAAATAAAACATTAACCGCCACTTAATTTTGGCAATTGGCAGAGTCCGATTGTCGGATCGTGGTAAGATTTTAGTTTGTTATTCTAGAAGCATAATGTGGATCCTTGGAAGTTACGGATCAGAAATCTGCGATGCTGATCTTCTGGATTGAGTTACGTATGGTTGTGGACCCTACTGTCGATCTTTGACCGACGGTTGACTTTTGGTCATTGGGTCTCAAATTATTCTAGAACGTCTTTAGGGATGTGTTTTATGTAAGTTACGTGTTCTATTGATAAGGATTCTGATGCCTCGATGTTTGTGTTATGAAGTTGTAGTGCGAACTCCAGGTAAGTGGGCATTTGCTCTATATATACATACGTACATACATACATACATACATACATACATACATACATATATATATATATCGTGGTTTCCAGAACATTTTTAAAATGATTTATGCTTTAAATGCCATGTCGAAAATGAGTTGCATTTTAAGTATTGCATTATTATAAATCGAGAGTTATACCGTTTGATGTTGCGGAGGCTCGGGTAAGTTTCAGGTGAGTACATTGTGATGGTATTAGTTGCATTGCACATCATTATGCATAGATGCATTTAGTGATCATCATTGATGCACCCCGATGTTAGTGCTCCCGCCCGAGGTTAGGGCACAATTTTTCACGTGATGTTTACCTCCCGCACTGCACGCTCACCTTAGATCCAAGTTTGGTGCCAGCCCTGTCGTACAGACTACAATAGGTGGTTCCGACTCGTAGGTGACCTGCGATTATTCGCACAACCTTCACATGATCGTAGAACTTGAGCATACATATTTACACCTAACCCTGTCGTACAGACCACAATAGGTGGTTTCGACTCTTGTACTTGCATATATTGATGAGCCATAGGTCTAGTCGTACAGGTCGCATTAGATGACTCCGACTGACATATTACTTTATATTGATTTCACCTAACTTACATCTTTTAATGCATAAATGTTATGACATGGCATACTTGGTTTTTACTGTCTTTGTGCATTGTTTTTACGTATATGCGTAGTATTATTTTCTGGAAACTATATGGGTTTTACAGCGAGGGGTTAAACATTTTCAAAAGGTTTTTATTAAAACTTTATTTTCAGGCCCACTCACCCTTGTTTTTCACCATTCCAGGTTTTAGATGCTGAAAGTTCGTATCGACGAGGATTTGTAGGTGGCTACCTCTGAGGGTATGATCCTTACCCACACTACTATACCTTACTTATGCTTCAACGTCGCGTGTGAAATGGGCTGCTCACAGTGCACTCTTGTCTTTAGACACTTTTAGGTTTAAATTTATTCACATTTTTCACATCACTATATTTTATGGCTTCGTCACCCTCCAGGTGTTAGGCAGCACAGCTTGATTCGAAGTCCTACTGAACATTCCGGGTCGAGATGTGTCAGATAGAATATAAATAAAACTTAATCTAACTATCTATGAAAATAGTTTAAAAAAATTCGTCTTCATACATCTATAAATTCACACAAGTATATATGTTGATGTACATAATATCTACAACATTGATTAGTTAACCCTTCTTTTATGCATTCTACCTTAAAAGACTAGTTAATTGGTCCAACATACAGAATAAGCTAGCCAATAATAAATATATTTACAGTGGTTATTATGCTTTACACAAAATCTAAACTGCGATAAGAAAATTTGAATTCCGTGTGTATAAAAGAGGCACATGCCCTCTTACTATTCTGACTACGCCCACGTCTGCTAAAAGAAAGCGTCGAGTGCCTCATTGATTGGGTTGATGCTGTATTTCGGCCCAATACATAAACAAGCCCAAAACTGTGAATTTGGGGCCATGCCTATTTATATAAGGCGGAGTTTGGTGCCAAAAAAGCCCAATACGATACAAGAGAAAGTCCCTATCGATTGAAAATGAAGGACGACTCAGGAACCAGATTCAGATTGTGTTTAGATCTTACAACCAACCATTGGGTCGCCTTATCTTTGTTTGCTTCTCCATTAAGACCAAACTCTCTCTCTCTCTCTAGAAAAAAAAATCTGAGAAACAAAGATGCCGAGTCACTGTGAGATCTTTTGTGAGATTCTGATCGCAATTCTGCTCCCTCCGCTGGGCGTTTGTCTCCGGCACGGCTGCTGCACCGTAAGTCCTCTTTCTTTCTCCTCCGTCTTCTTCGTTTTTTGGTGGCAGATTCGATGTTATTAATGGTGAAAGATTGAAATTTTGGATTTGCAATTATTTATGCAGGTGGAGTTTTGCATATGCTTGCTGCTGACGCTGCTGGGTTACCTTCCGGGAATCATCTACGCCCTCTACGCCATCGTCTTCATCAATCGCGACGAGTACTTCGATGAGTACCGCCGCCCCCTCTACGCCTCCTCCAATTAAACCAAGGGGATCCTTAGATCTTTTGTTTGCTTGTTATGTTTATAATAAAATCTGAATTTGTATGCTGCATATGTTAAGACTGATTGCTTGTTTTGGTTTTGCTTCGGAAAATTAAGGGACCTTGCATGTTACCAATTTTATACTTGATCCAACTAAAATTTTGACTTAGATTACACTCAATTGTTTGCTTGCTGCAGTGATGTAGATTTGCCTTTGGGAGAAACTCATCATGTTGTAAATTGTGGTAGAAAGGGTATTTTTTGGCGCTAAGATCTGTCGGATAAAATTCTAGTGTATACAATATGCAGGAGCACCTGAGAGTTGATTGGTCTAGCGGTCAGGTCCTTTGGTTTGCTCCCAAGTGGTCTGGGGCTCCACTCTCTCACAATACCCACCTAGCAAATGCTAGAGTTTCTCGCTCACCAAATGTTCTGAGATCAGGCGGGGTTCTAGTAATTAGTGTGGTCAAACTCTCGGATACACTAGTTTTAAAAATAAGCGTATCATTAAGCCTGTGGCAGATCATTTGGTAATGATTGATGAGACTTAAATGGCTATTTGATGAATGATGATGTGCACTTTTGATACAACCAAGTTACCTTGTTGTGTTACCAATTAGGAGAAAACTTCAGTGCGGTCACATGGTTCACTTCGGCATTTGCCTCCACATTCACACCAAGCGAGTTATTTCTTCGCGCAGGTGAGCCTTACTGAAGTTCCTTTCCCGAGCTAAGCCAACAAAGCCTCCTTTTAGTTTAAAGGAGGCATGAGATGGTCCAATCATCTGGGCCTTGACCGCACAAAATAAAAGGGATGAGAATGACACCCAAACATGAGGGCATACAATCTGCCTCCAATCATTTGAACAAGCCCTTCCTTTTGTAGTACTTTTTATTTATTTTTGGCACGAACAATAACATTCTTAGCTATACTCCGGTTGTATATTTTCATGCGTTTATATTACGTAAAGATATTTCATGCATCTATATCGTGTAAACGGTATGTGCAGTCGGTTATAAGTTAGCTACTTACATGATGAATAGATCATCATGGTTAGATTATCTCATTTGAACTTGAGTTAAAATTTAGCTACTTTGGTGATGAATCATGATGAATAGATCATCATCGTTTACGTATCAGTAACTAATATTAACGGTTCATGATGAGCCGTCCAAATTGACCGATATACCTTATATCATGACTTTTCCCATACGAATATCTAACCGAAAGAAACCGAACTCTCTTGCTTTCGCGCAACCACCGAAATGGAAACAACCAACAGCGAAGAAACAGTGACGGAGTCCGGCTCGGACTGGGCCGAGTTGACCAAGGAGTGCCTGATCAACATCCTGGGACGGCTCACCCTGGAGCAACGATGGATTGGGCCGATGCTGGTCTGCAAGCCGTGGCTGCAGGCGTGCAAGCAGCCCTGCCTCAACTCCGCCTTCCACCTCGAGCCGCCGTCCGAATCCGCACGGTGGTGGACCCCGGAGTTCGAGCGGCGGGTCGATTCCATGCTCCGATCTGTCGTCGATTGGAGCGCCGGCTCGCTGAAACAGATCCGCACCACGCACTGCTCCAATCAGTCTCTCTCGCTCGTCGCTCAGAGGTATAATAAATCTTTCATCTCCATAACAAAACTTGTTTATCTGTTTTGAATTAGGAGACTCGGGTTATGCATAATTTGGAATGAGGAAAAGTAGGTTATCATTGATTAGATGTTTTCGGCATAAAGTTTTGATCTTGATTGTTGTATGCTGAGCTCAAGGTTTAGATTTTGAGATTTTGGTTCGTCAAAATTTGATCTTTGAGGATTGGATTGTGATGGCACTACCTTAAGTTGGTTAATAATCTTTTCGGAATCTACGATTGGAAGTGTTTTTTGCCATATATTGCATTTTGAAGCTTCATTTTTCCTTTCCGTTTGATTGATGAAGTGAGACATTGTTAGTGATCGTAATGTAATGATTTAGGTGCCCGAACCTCGAGGTTCTTTCGATCAAGAACTGCTCGAATGTGACTGATTCGTCCATGGCTGATATAGCGTTTCGCTGCCCCATGATCCGGGAACTTGACATCAGCTATTGCCACGAAGTATCTCATGAGTCTCTGGCGTTGATTGGGAGGAACTGCCCAAATCTGAAAATCTTGAAACGGAATATGATGAATTGGTTAGATCCATCCGAACACACTGGAGTTGTTCCGGACGAATACTTAAACACTTGGCCTCAGGATGGAAATTCAGAAGCTGCTGCAATTGGCAAATCTATCCCAAATTTGGAGCACCTTGAACTTCGATTCTCAAAGGTATCGGCTAAGGGGTTTGCTTTGATATCTGTAGGATGTCCAAATCTCGAGTACTTGGATTTGTTTGGGTGTGTGAACTTGACTCGTCGGGATATTGAGAACGCGACATCCAATTTGAAGAATTTGAAGGAGATTAAAAAGCCAAACTTTTACATTCCACGGTCAGTTTTCCGTACAGAGAGGTATGGCCATTGGAGGTTGATGATGAGCGATTTCAGATAGATGCTTTCACAATCTAGTCTGCTAAGCTCGGAAATAAACCATGTATGACCGTGTCGTGCTGCTCTGATCAATTGTGGGAGAAGTATATTGTATATGCTGGGGTGTGAAGCTCTTTACAAAGGTTCTGTATCTCTTCCACTTCTACTTATAGAAAACCATGTATTACTGCTTTTTTTCTCTTCGTATTTAGTTTCTTGCTTTCGTTTTACATATACGAATCATGTTTCTGCTTTTGTTTAAACATCACACCTCGTCGACCGTAGTTTTTTGCATGGTATGACAGTTACCGGACAGCATATGCTTTGGCTAGGAACAGGGGAAGAAGGGAAGAAATTTATGAAGTAAGGTAAGAACAGGGGAAGAAGGGAAGAAATTTATGAAGCAATTCAATAAGTAGATATTCTAATTCACAATTACATAAGAAACAGGTTAGAGAAACGGGTTTAAACACGGGTTTAACAGCGAAAGTTTCATCGCAAAACTTCCGTCCTAAATCACGTTTGCAAAATTACCTCAAGCGATTAGTACAGAGCAAAGATGATCGATCCAACAGCAACATGCCTGAGCACTGCGAAGAGGAAGAAATTGGGGGGTTTAGCTAGTAAAGGGCTTGCTGCACCCTTGCCGGGATGGGTGTGCCTAAGGTCGGAGGCACCACCGTAGGATGGCTTTGCTTTCTCGGAAATCCTTAAATGCTGAACTTCATGCATTATTTGATGGTCTTTTCTGCTTGATTTGTTCATCATATCATATACATCTGCAGAGCTTATAACACGGATAAAATTAGCGAAAAAGAACGTAGGGAGATCGGATATATTTCTCGATCAGTCGAGAGAATTTGTGAGCTTACCCTTAAGTTTGAGGTGACCATGCTGCTTCTTCAGAGGTGTATAACCTCCAGTTTTAGGGTTGGAAGTGCTTTCGCATGCAGAATGAACAACCAGACAGAGAATAAATAAGGACCATATTAGTATTTCTGTTCTCATCTTCCCTCAAATATTAACCGTGGCTAATTTTTCAAAGGTGGTTGATGAGGAAGAGGGACACACTTAAATAGACTTTTGTTGCTATCCGTTTGTGTGATTAGCACTAACTAAAAATAAAGATAAAGTTAATTAGGGTTTTCATATGGCTGATGGACAAAGTACTGATTCTTCTTAATCTGCTGCAGTCACATGCATATGTGTATGCGTGTGGTTTTTTGCATTCTTGGTTCGTAATCGTATAGAGAATTTATTCACAATCCATGCTTTATGCCATACAAGAGGGCAGTACTTAGTCATCAATTATACGTAAACACAAATTGGGCGGGGGGGATTTGCGATTCGACTGTGGCTGTGGTCGATCGTGTTGTGTTCTGACATAACTAGCTCCCAGTATAGTCGTATGAATATCTCTTTAATGTCGGAAGATATTTTAAGTTCGAATCTCTCTCTTAGCGAATCATAAAGTTTCATGCTTCGAAAGTTATTGTGAGAGAGGTTTGATGAAAAAGAATAAATTAGCTAGAGACTTTTTTTTTTTAAAGATCGACCAAATCACTTTGAATGGATAGAAAAGAATATGATGCCCCTATTATCTTTTTCTTGGAGAGCCCTCAAATACAAAGGAATTAATGGATTTGCTTTGCTTATTAATCAGGGAATATTTTTGTTAGCCACTCTCAATTAATGATGACGTTCACCACCTTATTTATCATCGTTTCAATTTTTGATATTTATCTAGTGAATAGACACAAATTTAAAAATTTAAACTCATTCAATGATATTACGCCCACCCCATTGTCTTATTTTCCCACTCCATTTTATTTTTTCACCCACCAAAAGTGTTAAAAGAAGAAAACACTCTTTTCTCATCCCCCCATCATTCCTAAAATACCCTAATGTGATTTCAACCCTCGATACCCCTACTCCGTTGGAGTGCCGCACCAACTCCCAACACCCAACCCAAGTCCCCCAACCATCAGAACACCACCATGGCAGCAAAACTGCCTCACCACCCATCTTTTTGTTCCCTGCATAGTTTAGATATTTTATTTTTCCTATGAATTTCAAGTAGTGCAGATTGCAATGGAATTCAATGTGTGGGTTATGTATTTAAAGTTTTAGAAAGAAGGGAAATGAGAGAGGAGGGAGGTGAGGTTTGGGTTGGGATTAGAACCAAAGAAGGGGCTGGGAGGACAAAAAGTTTAAAGCTATGGATGTTATGAAGCAGTGATGGGTGATATATGATCAGTTGGTTTGGAGAAAGAAAAATGGAAGTAGAAATACTTGTTTACAAGAGATGGGATTTCATCCTAGAAAGGCACAATAATTAAATTGAAAGAGAGAAGAATTTTTTTTTCTTTTACAGAGATGGTGAACGGGCATAAGAAAATGGGCAATTCGGCAATGTGCAGTGGACATAAGGAAATTGGCAATATGCAGTACGTTTTTGTTTTGGTACTTACATGTCATTTTACAAGAGGGTAAAATTGACATTAAAATTTAGGGGTGTGATATCCACACATCTTTTTTACTTGTCACACACCCTTCTAATTTTCGACCATCGAATCGGATGAATTGAAGAAGATCAACAAACAGAAATTAACAAAAGGTGTGTGAGAAGTAAAAAGGGGTGTGTGGATAGTACACCCCTAAAATGTATACTAAAATGTGGGTGGGGAAATAAGATAACGGAGTGGCTTTATCACACTCTTCTCAAATTATATGACATGTGATGTTTCACCCCTGTATTTCGATTACACTAAAGAATTTTAGTGAGGGTGGTGAGCGAAAAATGCAAAAGGCTCCCTATTCGTCATCATGTTTCTACCAACCACTTATTAATCTCAATAAATTAAGGGAAGTGCAATTGGCACTCCAAAAATTATATTTTGCACTTCAAACTTTCTATAATTAGAAAAAAATTACACTGATGAAGAATGTAAAATTAAATTTTTAGAGTGCTAATCACAGTTCCCCAAATTAATATACATGCATTTCGCTTTTCTCATCCAAAATTTGGAATGTCTTTTGAAATTTCAAAAAATTTCATGCTTTATTTCCGATCCAATATATCCGGAAACCAAACCCCCAACACGAATATATTAATTGTAAAAGTGTTCCAGTATGATACAATAATTTTTTTTTCGACGTGCATACGTGGTACATGACCATCAAAATCAGGAACATGAAGTTTCTATATTCTTTTCTAGGAAACAACGTACAAATTTATGTGGGGTTGATGATACCAATAGCATATACATATATATTGATACATCACAATTGAAAGAATGAACACAAAATTAAGATTAACATACAGCCGGTAGGATGGCGGCGCAGACATTCTAATTTACAAATAAGAAGCAGGTTTCGGAAACGGATTTAAACGCCGGGTTTAACAGCGAAAGTTTCATGCAAAACTTCCACATCGATCGCGTCCTAAATCACGTTTGCAAAATTACCTCAAGCGATTAATACAGAGCAAAGATGATCAATCCAACAGCAACATGCCTGAGCACTGCGGACAGGAAGAAAGTGGGGGGCTTAGCTAGTAGAGAGCTTGCTGCACCCTTGGTGGGACGGGGGCGCCTAAGGTAGACGCCGTTACCGTAGACTGGTTTTGCTCTCAGGGAAATCCTTAAATGCTGAACTTCATGCATTCTTTGATGGCCTTTTCTGCTTGATTTGTTCATCATATCATATACATCTGCAAGCGTATAACATTGATACAATTAGCGAAAAAGAACGTTGGGAGGTCGGATGTATTTCTCGACATGTCGAGAGAATTTGTGAGCTTACCCTTATGCTTAAGGTGTTTGAAAAAATTCGTCTGTGCCATACAAGAGGGCAGTACTTAGTCATCAATTATACGTAAACACAAATTGGGCGGGGGGGATTTGCGATTCGACTGTGGCTGTGGTCGATCGTGTTGTGTTCTGACATAACTAGCTCCCAGTATAGTCGTATGAATATCTCTTTAATGTCGGAAGATATTTTAAGTTCGAATCTCTCTCTTAGCGAATCATAAAGTTTCATGCTTCGAAAGTTATTGTGAGAGAGGTTTGATGAAAAAGAATAAATTAGCTAGAGACTTTTTTTTTTTTAAAGATCGACCAAATCACTTTGAATGTATAGAAAAGAATATGATGCCTCTATTATCTTTTTCATGGAGAGCCCTCAAATACAAAGGAATTAATGGATTTGCTTTGCTTATTAATCAGGGAATATTTTTGTTAGCCACTCTCAAGTAATGGTGACGTTCACCATCTTATTTATCATCGTTTCAATTTTCGATATTTATCTAGTGAATAGACACAAATTAAAAATTTAAACTCATTCAATGATATTAAGTAGAGTGGTGAGTATTATCACCACTTGGAGAGATTTTTCAATGTGCTTGGAACACGTAGCGGAACGCCACATGTCATAATATTATAATTGGAGGAAAGTTTTTTTTATAAGTGTTTCTTAAAGAGTGGTATTACGCCCACCCCATTGTCTTATTTTCCCACTCCATTTTATTTTTTCAGCCACCAAAAGTGTTAAAAGAAGAAAACACTCTTTTCTCATCCCCCATCATTCCTAAAATACCCTAATGTGATTTCAGCCCTCGATACCCCTACTCTGTTGGAGTGCCGCACCAACTCCCATCACCCAACCCAAGTCCCCCAACCATTAGAACACCACCATGGCAGCAAAACTGCCTCACCACCCATCTTTTTGTTCCCTGCATAGTTTAGATATTTTATTTTTCCTATGAATTTCAAGTATTGCAGATTGCAATGGAATTCGATGTGTGGGTTATGTATTTAAAGTTTTAGAAAGAAGGGAAATGAGAGAGTAGGGAGTGAGGTTTGGGTTGGGATTAGAACCAAAGAAGGGGCTGGGAGGACAAAAAGTTTAAAGCCATGGATGTTATGAAGCAGTGATGGGTGATATATGATCAGTTGGTTCGTATTTGATTAGATTCCTGGAATTAGGGTTTTGGAGAAAGAAAAATGGAAGTAGAAATACTTGTTTACAAGAGATGAGATTTCATCCTAGAAAGGCACAATAATTAAATTGAAAGAGAGAAGAATTTTTTTTCTTTTACAGAGATGGTGAACGGGCATAAGAAAATGGGCAATTCGGCAATGTGCAGTGGACATAAGGAAATTGGCAATATGCAGTACGTTTTTGTTTTGGTACTTACATGTCATTTTACAAGAGGGTAAAATTGACATTAAAATTTAGGGGTGTGATATCCACACACCCTTTTTTACTTGTCACACACCCTTCTAATTTTCGACCGTCGAATCGGATGAATCGAAGAAGATCAACAGATAGAAATTAACAAAAGGTGTGTGAGAAGTAAAAAGGGGTGTGTGGATAGTACACCCCTAAAATGTATACTAAAATGTGGGTGGGGAAATAAGATAACAGAGTGGGTTTATCAACACTCTTCTCAAATTATTATGACATGTGATGTTTCACCCCCATATTTCGGTTACACTAAGGCCCTGTTTGGCAGATTGGATAAAGGATCAGATAGGATTAGTTATACGGATTCGGGTGTTTGGCGTTCACTCGTACTGAATAAGCGTCGGATTAATTTAACCGGTCGGATAGGATAACACGGTATACACCCGCTTAATAAAATCAACCAAAACGCCCGAATTATTTAGTTGGGGAAGAAGAATATGGGAGAGAAAGGGAGGGAGTTTGGGAGGTGTGGCGGAGAGAGCTGGGGAACAATTATTTGGGATTCTTCTGCAGTCGGGGAAGAAGAAGGGAGAGAGAGGGAGGGTGTTTGGGGGGTGTGGAGAGATCTGGGAACAAAAAAATGATTTCATTTTAAAATTTTATTTTTTTTAAGTTTGATTCCTCCTATCTAGTATAATATCAAAAACAGTATAAATAATACGGTCACTAGTCCGATACTGCACCAAACACCCGACTAATTTAGTCAGTACTATCCGGTGACTATTTATCCTATCCGACAGAAATAGTCAGTACAGTCCGAGCTGCCAAACGAGGCCTAAAGAATTTTAGGGAGGGTGGTGAGCAAAAAATGAAAAAGGCTCCCTATTCGTCATCATGTTTCTACCAACCACTTATTAATCTCAATAAATTAAGGGAAGTGCAATTAACACTCCAAAAATTATATTTTGCACTTCAAACTTTCTATAATTAGAAAAAAATTACACTGGTGAAGAATGTAGAATTAAATTTTTAGAGTGCTAATCACAGTTCCCCAAATTAATATACATGCATTTCGCTTTTCTCATCCAAAATTTGGTATGTCTTTTGAAATTTCAAAAATTTTCATGCTTTATTTCCGATCCAATATATCCGGAAACCAAACCCCCAACACGAATATATTAATTGTAAAAGTGTTCCAGTATGATACAATAATTTTTTTTCGACGTGCATACCTGGTACATGACCATCAAAATCAGGAACATGAAGTTTCTATATTCTTTTCTAGGAAACAACGTACAAATTTATGTGGGGTTGATGATACCAATAGCATATACATATATATTGATACATCACAATTGAAAGAATGAACACAAAATTAAGATTAACATACAGCCGGTAGGATGGCGGCGCAGACATTCTAATTTACAAATAAGAAGCAGGTTTCGGAAACGGATTTAAACGCCGGGTTTAACAGCGAAAGTTTCATGCAAAACTTCCACATCGATCGCGTCCTAAATCACGTTTGCAAAATTACCTCAAGCGATTAATACAGAGCAAAGATGATCAATCCAACAGCAACATGCCTGAGCACTGCGGACAGGAAGAAAGTGGGGGGCTTAGCTAGTAGAGAGCTTGCTGCACCCTTGGTGGGACGGGGGCGCCTGAGGTAGACGCCGCTACCGTAGACTGGTTTTGCTCTCAGGGAAATCCTTAAATGCTGAACTTCATGCATTCTTTGATGGTCTTTTCTGCTTGATTTGTTCATCATATCATATACATCTGCAAGCGTATAACATTGATACAATTAGCGAAAAAGAACGTTGGGAGGTCGGATATATTTCTCGACATGTCGAGAGAATTTGTGAGCTTACCCTTATGCTTAAGGTGGTCATGCTGCTTCTTCAGAGGTGTATGATCTCCAGTTTTAGGGTTGGAAGTGCTTTCACATGCAGAATGAACAACCAGACAGAGCATAAAAAAGGACCATATTAGTAATTCTGTTGTCATCTTCTCTTAAATATTAACTGTAAATAATTTTTCAAAGGTTGTTGATGAGCAAGAGGGACACACTTAAATAGACTTCTGCTGCTATCTGTTTAAGTGTAATTAGCACTAATTATTAGGCATAAAGATAAAGAGAAAAGCATGGGCGGAGTTACTGAGGGAATAGAATGGTCCCCGGCCCATCCTGCCTTTTTTTCCCCTGCTAATCTAATAGTAGCTTCATGCTAATGTTGTATATCTGTTTAATATCCTTAAAATTCAAATGTGTTTTCAATTCAAACTCTTTTTCATTCCATGCTAGACCTCATTTTTCTCTCCATCCCTCTTATTGCGGTGCAATCTTCACTTCCCCTCCTTATTCTATCAACTTTTCTATTTAGCTTTTAACTTGTATTTTAAACAATTTCTTGCTTACTCTTTATCTCATATTCGGGTTTTTGGAATTTGTTCAATGTTTTTAGTTCTCTGTATTGAATTTAGGATCTTTCAATTTTGCAAATTAGTCCAATTTCACATGTTTTGAGTTTAAATTACCTATATATATGTGAAAGACCTCCTTCCACAAACATGAAATCCTTACTTCGTCACTGGCGAAAAGTAGAAAAAAATTAGTTGATTAAGGATTTCTTGGCCAGTGGATAAAGTAAAGATTCTTGTTAATCGGAATAAAATAGATCTACTGCAGGCACATGTATATGTGCATGCGTGTGGTTTTGCTTTCTTGGTTCGGAATCGTATCGAGATTTTATTCACGGTGCATACTTTAAGCCATACAAGGGCAGCACCTAGTCAATTATATATGTAAACATGTACAAACTGGGCTGGGGAATTTGCGATTCTATGGTGGCCGCGATCTATTAAGGTCTGTTTCTGACGTAACCATAGTATAGTTGTCGAATCTCTTTTTAATATCAGAAGATGTTTAAGTTAGAATCTCACTCTTTGCGAATCATAGAAGATTGTGCTCCAAAAGTTATAGTAAGGAGAGAGGTTTGATGAAAAAGAATAATTAGCTAGAGACCTTTTCTTAAGGGTCGACCAAATCACTTTGAATGGATAGAAGAGAATGTGATGCCTCTAATATCCTTTTCTTGGAGAGCCCTCAAAGACAAAGGAATCAATGGCTTGCTTCTATTTCCATGTCGGTGAATGCTTCGTTTATTTATCAAGGAATATTTTTGCTCACCAACGTCAAATGATGATAATGCTCACCACCTTATTTATCATCGTTATATGAGTTTAAATTTCAAGATTTGTGTTGTGAATAAATACAAATCTCAAAATTTAAACTCATTCAATGATAATAAGTATAGTGGTCAGTTTTACCACCACTCGAGTGTAGAAAAAGGTATGTAGGCTAAAAATATATTTGTTATTGATACGTGAATGTGGAAAAAATGGAAGAGAATGCTTTTTTTCTCATTATCTTTCTCTACAAGATTACAAGGATATATATACATGATACAAGTGTGTAGGTAGGACAAGGTAGCCGTCCTAGTGTGTAGGTAGGACAAGGTAGGACGGCTGTAGGACGACTTGACGGCTGTAGGACGGCTAGTGTGTAGATAGGACAAGGTAGGACGGCTGTAGGATGGCTTGACGGCTGTAGGACGGCTAGTGAATAATATTATATACAATTACACAAGGACTCCAACGATATTCCTTATTTGTCTAACACTCCCCCTCAAGTTGGAGAGTGGATGTCAAGAACTCCCAACTTGCGTAACATACCTGAAAACTTTTCTTTCCCAAGAGGTTTGGTAAACAAGTCTGCCAACTGTTGTGCTGTACCCACTTGCTTGGTCTCTATTGTGCCATCTACAATCTTATCTCGTATAAAGTGACAATCCATCTCAATGTGACGAGTTCGTTCATGAAAAACAGGATTGGCAGCTATATGTAACGCTGCTTGATTATCACAAAATTAAATTGAAGGACCATCCAAAGGAATGTTCAAATCCTTCAACAAAAAACGAAGCCAAACTATCTCGCAACAAGCACCTGCCATGGCCCTATATTCCGCCTCTGCTGAAGAGAGCGAAACGGTTTTCTGTCGTTTCGTCCGCCAAGAAATCAAAGAACCACCCAAGAATACACAATACCCAGTAGTCGAATGGCGAGTGATAGGGCAACCTGCCCAATCAGAATCACAAAACGCAGTTAACTTGGTCTGGTTGCCAAAACGAAATAATAAACCTTGACCTGGAGTAGCCTTCAAATAACGAACAATACGAAGCGCAGCATCCATATGAGATATCCTTGGCTCGTGCATAAAACGGCTTAGAACATGCACAAAATAGGTGATATCCGGCCGAGTGATAGTGAGATATATTAACCGACCTACTAATCGTCGATACTTTTCAGGATCCTTGAGAAGTTCTCCTTTATCAGATAATTTTGTGTCATCCATAGGAAAAGCAATGGGTCGTGCTCCCAAAAAACCATAGTCCTTGAGAATCTCTAATGCATACTTGCGTTGAGAAATATAAATCCCTTGTTTGGAACGAGAAACCTCAATACCCAAAAAATATTTTAAATCACCAAGGTCTTTTATCCGAAAATGATCACGGAGAAAAGACTTCAGAGAATTAATGGCACTAGCATCATTGCCTGTAATCACAATATCATCCACATAAATGAGCAAAGCTGTGAAAGAAATACCAGACTTTTTAGTGAACAATGAATAGTCAGCTTTGGATTGTTGAAAACCGGCAGAAATGATGGCACTAGTGAATTTGGCAAACCATTGGCGAGAAGCCTGCTTAAGACCATAAAGTGACTTGTGAAGGCGACACACAAGATTCTCCCCCTGTCGCCGAAGACCAGGAGGAGGAGACATATAGATTTCTTCTTGTAAGTCACCATGTAAGAAAACATTATTAACATCAAGCTGATGAAGAGACCAAGACTGACTAGCAGCAAGAGCAAGAAGACAACGCACCGTAATCATCTTAGCAGTAGGAGAAAAAGTGTCATGATAATCAATACCTTCAGCCTGAGTGAAGTATTTAGCAACCAAACGAGCTTTGTAGCGGTCAATAGAGCCGTCGGAATTGTGCTTGAGTTTGTACACCCACTTACAACCAATGGGAATTTTGCCAGGGGGCAAGGAAGTTAAAGTCCAAGTACCATTAGCATGTAAAGCTTGAAGCTCCTCAGTCATAGCACGTTGCCAATTAGGGTCAGTGGCAGCCTCGGCAAAGGAGGAAGGCTCCACAGTCCGACTGACAGAGTTAATGTAAGAAAAATGCCTGGGAGAGTAACGGTGATAAGAGAGAAAATTACAAAGTGGATATCGCGTACCTTGTGTAGAACCGGGTTGCGAAGTCGAAGATGGGTGGGATGACAGAATCACCTGCGAGCAAACGTAGTCTTTTAAATAGGATGGAGGTTTATGGGCACGGGAAGAGGTGCGGGGAAGGAGAGGATTGGTAGGTAGTGGGGGGGGTAGGGATGTTCGTGGGTAAAGGGGCATGGGGAGGAACGGGTAATGGGACAGCAAGGGAATCTGTGGGAGGCGTGGAAGGGGAGGAAGGTGGAGGAGGGTGAGGCGTCAGGGCAGGAAGAGGTGGGTTATATGTAAAGTCCAGAGGGGGTGGGATGGGTAGGGTAGGCGAAGAGGATGGGATAGGAGGGTGAGAAACGGCATAAGGGAAAGTAGTTTTGTGAAAGATGACGTCTCGACTAGTGAAAATGCAGTGATTGTCGAGATCGTAAAGGGTATAGGCCTTTTGTCCATGAGGATAACCGAGAAAAATGCAACGATGAGCCCGAGGGGAAAATTTGGTGGTGGGAGTGACAGAGGTGGCATATGCCAGACAACCAAAGACGCGGAAGTGGTCATAAGATGGGGTTTTCGAAAAGAGAACCTTAAATGGGGATTTATGATGGAGAAGACGGGTAGGGAGACGATTGATGAGATAAGTAGCGGTAAGAACACATTCCCCCCAAAACTTGATAGGAAGATGGGATTGAAAACGAAGGGCGCGAGCGGTTTCAAGAAGATGACGATGTTTTCTTTCAACAACGCCATTTTGTTGGGGGGTATAAACACAAGAAGTTTGTAAAAGCACCCCATGATCAAAGAAAAAACTACGAAGAGATAAAAATTCACCACCATTGTCAATACGAATGCATTGGATGGTAGTGCGGAATTGGGTAGTGACATAAGCAAAAAAATCCTTAATTAATTGTTGAGTGTCGGATTTATGTTTCATGAGGAAGACCCACGTAAAGCGAGAAAAATCATCCACAATGGTTAAGAAATAATGAGCACCAGAAAGAGAAGATTGACGATTCGGGCCCCAAATATCATAATGAATTAAAGCAAAAGGGAAAGTTGATGAAATTGAACTCAAAAGAAAAGGTTGATGAGTTTGTTTTGCCAACGGACAAACATCACAAATATGACTAGAATCAAAAGTACAATTAAGAGAGATAGATGCCAAAGCTTGCAAACGAGTGGAGGAGGGGTGACCAAGACGCCTATGCCAGAGGGAGGAGGGGATGGTAATGATGTTGCAGAGAGGTTGACGGGTGGGGAGAGAAGAGGTAAGGGCCACAAGGTAATACAGATCGCCACGTCGCTTACCCACACCAATCATCGCCTTCGAAACCAAGTCCTGCAAAACACACCAATAAGGAAAGAAGGTTATGGAACACGATAATCCATCTGTAAGTTTACCAATCGATAAAAGGTCCACTCGGAAATTAGGGACACATAAAACATCCTTCAAAGTAACTGATGAATTTAAAGGAAGAGTGCTGGTAAAAGTAATAGGAGCGGAAGCACCACTAGGCAAAGAAACAGGCGGCAAATGTGAAGGAGAACGATTAACCAAACATGAGGCGGAAGAAGTAATATGATCCGTAGCACCACTGTCAAGAATCCATTGACCATGACGAGAGGTGACAGGTAACAAACCTTGGGCAAAATCAGTAGTGAGCACGGCATTGGCCTGAGGAGGGGTGGTGGTGTCACGTAGAGCAGCTAGAACATGGGAGTGCTGCTCGGCAGAGAGGTCAGGCATGGCAAGCTGCAAGTCATGCAAAGTGGGCTGGGCCCCGTGCACTTGGTGGGTCGCTGGAGTAGAAGAGGAGGTGGGGGCCTGGGTGCCTTGCACGTGATGGGCCTGGGTGAAATTATGGGGCCGGGAAGCAGAAAACCGTGGCTGCCGGGGAGGACTGGAAGGTGCATGGCTGCGGGAAGAACTGGAAGCAGTGGCACGACGCGGTGGTCGCCACGGTTGGCCATGGAGGGGATGGCCAACGGGATAGCCATGAAGTTTA